ATCAAAACGTGAAAAGTTGATTTTTGCTGAACGTTTATGAAACTGCATGAATGTAAAATTTGACGATGTAAAAAACTCGATTTCCGACATACAATGTAGATGACATGTATTAAAAATCACAATTAAATTAATAATTTTAATTAAAATAAAAATTACAAGTGGAAAAATTTAATTTCTAGGAGAGAACCGCTGTTAAAATTTAGACATTTCTTTAGTTATAGTTTTAAGTTACTTGCTTAAATGTGCAACGAAATTACATAGTTTTCCAAACGACTTTCTCATGCGACTTTTGTCTATGATTTTCAGATAAATTTCACTTTCTCAAAATCAAAATATATGGGCAAGTAATCTTCATTCAATGATTATTATTTAATATTTCAATTGAATTTTTTTACTTCATTTACTATATCTACGACTAATTTCTACATGAGTGGCATGTTTTTTTTTTTTTCTTTAAAGTAAATGTACAAGGTCAACAATAAAGTATAAATAATTAGGATGTTACTTTTTTCGTTTTATAGTATTGATCTTTGTTATATTGATAAATATTGATCTTTTTTAACTATAACTTGTAATGCAGTTTCATGTTCTTTCTTCGTCTGTAATAAAGTTAACTCTTCTGTGATACATCTGTACAATGCTACTCTTCTGGTATAAAGGTTTATGAATATGCCAAAAACATGCACTTAAACATGAAACAAAGGACATTAAAAACATTTACTTGATATATATATTAAGAATATTTATTTTAATTAAGAGAGGTTTTAAGTGAGTAAGACGATCTTTGAAATTTATAAGTCATGCAATGTGCTTTTGTTAACAATAAAGTGGTTTTAAATTACTTTTGTATGCGCTTCCCACGCAATATTAGCATAATTAATATGACAGTTTATAAAAGAGTAATAAAATTGAATTACTAGATATTTATTCAGTTCTAATTACCTTAGGCCAGTTTTTTTGTCAGTACACATGTTTATTTGATAATTTTCTGTGTACTTTTTATGGGATATTTTTATTGCCATTTTACATATTTTACGCAATAAGTCTTGTATTATATTGTTACTCTTTTTTATTTTATTTTGTTTAGTTGTATTTTTGTTAGTAGGTTCTTAGTTTTGTTTATACGTTTGTTTGTATCTTTGTATGTATGCATGTTTGTTTGCATCTATGTTTATTTGAATCTATGTTGGCAGGGTCAAACGACACCGGGGGGCTGGGGGGTACGTGCACTTTTTTTCTAAAAGGCTTTTTTTATATTTTAATGAGAAAATTCTAGATATAGAAGACTATTTTTTAAGAATTGACAATTGTGCCCCCCCCCCCACTTCAAAATCCGTGTCGTCGGCCCTGGTTTGCTTTTATCCGTGTTTGTTTGTATGTACATTTGTTCGTATGTATGTTTGTCTGTAGGTATGTGTGTTGTAAATACTTTCCTTTTTTACAATTATTAACCAATTTTAATAGTTTTTACGCTTTTTTTCAGTGCATTAAAACTAAAAAGTATAAAATAAAAATAATACATCGTTTTTTTTAACTAATTGAAGTTATTCTTTTAGACAAGATGAGTATGGAAGCATAAAATAATTTCTTTATATTTATATAAATTAAGTAAGTAATAAAGGTGTCAAGCTTTCAACTTTTATTTATACAATGTATAAAATTTTTGGCACATGCTTTTTTTTTTTTTTACTTCTTTTTATATTCACCTCAAAAAAACCCATTATAAATTAAAAAATCTTCTCATTTATATTTAGCTTTTACGGGTATAAAACATTGTTATACTTTTTATTTTAAAGAGAAATTAAATTTTTGTAATTTTTATTTTATATACATATAAAGATATGTTATAAATATTTCCAATATTATAAGATTGAAGTTATTTATAAAACATATATTTTGAAACACAAAAAATTATGGCTCATGGGCCTAATTTTCCTTAGAGAAAAAAAAATCATAAATGTAATTGACGAAGTTTGGGGATGTGTTCAAATTGTTGCTTAAACCACTTTTTTGTTCTAATATTTAAATTAATGATATTTTTTTAATTATTATTTCAATTTATTTGCATTAAAATAAAAATACAAAAAGTTGATAGAGGTAATTGGAGAATTACTCTTATGTAACACCAAGTTTAAAACAGCAAACAGAGTCTCTAAATATTGTATGTTTTTAAATTCGATTTAAATAGAGACAATGAAAAGGAATACACCATATAATCAGGTAATGAATTCCATATCTTAGTAACTTTTTCACAGAAAAAAAATTTTCTTATATTATTGATGTAGTTGTTACGTGATGACAATTTTTGGGAATGAGAGCTAGTTGAATAATGAGGAGCGAGAGTAAAAAACTCATGAAAAAAAATCAACAAAATTATGCATAATTTATAAGTCATTAAAAGATCAAATTTTATTATCCGGCATTTAAGAGAGTGAAGATTGAATACAACACCGTTTGCAGACAATTATGGAATACAACACCGTTTGCAGACAATTCTTCTTTAATATTTCTGGACCTTTTCTACCCGACGTACATCTTTTAAGAGATTGTGTATTTTTATGTAGCCAATTTTTGGTAATAAGTATGATATCAAAATTGCTGTTTTCGAGGAGATTGTGTAGGTAGTGTAGTTTATTATTATTCGATCTAGCATTGAAGAAGGAACAACTAATGGTAGTGAAAGAATACTGCTTAACTTTTGTTTTGTTGTTATAGTTAGCTTGATTTATATTGAGTTTAAGATTGATGTGGTAGTTGCGTTTACCGGTGTTATTTTTACTTTTATTAATTCTGAAACATCAATTTAGTTTTGAAACATCAATTTAACGATGGCATTGCTTCTAATGCAGTATCGAAAGGGCAATTTGAGTTTTCTATTCGCTTGCAACTCGTTGTTTAACTTTTTTTTTTCTTAAAGCAACATTTTCATATTTGATCTTTCTGCTTCATTAAGATCTGGATTTATAAACACCTTAAAAGTTTCTGTTGAGGTTTTTAAGGATTTGGCAGCGCTAAGAAAGAAGTTACGATCACTGGCATTAATTAAGTCAACTAAGACTGGGCTATTTGTATTTTGTTGAGGTAGTGTAGTTGAAGTTGAGGTTGTTGCCATATAGGAAGATTTTTGTTTTGGTTTAAAACAATGCACTTTCTTGATTTAATTTTCTCGGATTTGGATTGAATTAAAATTTTTTGCAACTAGTTTGTGATCACTGTCATTGGGGTAATTTAGTATCTTGTTGTGTAAGGCCAAACATTATAATGTTTTTGAATCTTTTTTCTGTATCCTCAATGATACCGGTAATTGCCTTGGAAATGCTAAGTTGTTCCGGGGATTTAGTTTTAGTTTTAAATAGAGCACTGCAGTTTATATTTCTTTTACTATTGCAGCTATCATCATTTGATTTATTTCTCAATATTTCGTTTTCTTTCTTCAGATTAACAACTCTTATAGTTAATAGTTCAATTGTTTTCTTAAGCATTAAGAATTCTTCTGCGTTGATCTTAAGTGATACCTTTGAAAGTATTGATTGAGTTTTTAACTAAAATCAGTTAAGATCTATTTAACATAATAAACAAAAACAAAACAACAACAAGCTATTCATTTTCCATTTTAAAATCATTTTTACCATAATAAGATAAATATTAATAACAATAGTTATAAAACAATAAGCAGTAGTAATAATTTATAACAATAATAACAATAATAATAACAAAAAAAAAAAAATTATAAATAATAATAATTAGGGGAAAGTCGGGTAGCCCGGGACGGCGGGTAACTCCGGACACCTAATGTACAGCTTAAACTAAAGAAGCTATTTGACTTTTAATATTAGAATAACATATTTTGAGTGAAAAATGGCATATGCAAAATATCTATCATAAAATGTTGAAGCGAATGACTGGGAGGGCAAGATTTTGTTTCCCACCACCAGAAGAGCGACGTATCATCATATTTAGTTCACATATTAATATACCTAATTTACTAATAACTTTTTAGTGATTAAAGATATATTTTTATTTACAATAGTTATTAAAAAAAAATTCGTTAAAAAGTTCAGTTCACTGGTTTTAAAAATAGTATTTGTAAATAAGGTATGATCGGGTGGTATCGGACTCATGTTTGGAGGGTGGCTCCGGACAACTTAATTCGCTTACATATTAATAATAAACAACTTTTTTTATATAAATATTAATACATTTAGTATAGTACACAAACCTATAACAGTAATTCATTTAATTCCAATAAAGAAACATTAGATTTGAAAAAAGTGTTTTTAAAGTGTTTTTTTTTTTATTATAAAAAAGCTTATGTTTATATTTTTAAATGATGACATTTTCATTCTCATTCTATAGATATCAGAAGCAATTTTTAAAAGCAATTTTTTTAAAAATGTGTCAAGAAAAGTCCAATGCTGAATTATTATATATTACATTTGTGTCACACTGGTAAAAAAAGAAGTAAAATCATGGTTAAACTATGTGTCCGGGGTTACCTTCCAATTTAGAAACATGCCTTTTTTCTAACATCTTTTCTTTTATGTTTTGTATATTATTAAAATACATAATAATCATTTTTTTGTTTCTAATTCGATAGATGGACGTTTGAACTTTTAAAAAAAGTCTTTTGGCACTTTTTTTTCTGTTAGCATATGCGCACAATCTATATTTTCCTTAAGTGTCCGCGGCTACCCGACTCTCCCCTACTATAATAATAAGTAAAATGATATGATATTTCATATTACAATAAGTTAATGATTAGTATGGATAATATTACTCATAGGGAAGTCTGATCAAAGGAGTGACACCATAAATCTTTAGACGATTAATTATACATAAAAGGTTAGAGTTTCGTTTTTTTTATACATAAAAGGTAAGAATTTTTCAGAATAACGGCTTTCCGTTAAACCGTTGTAATTCACAATTTTAATTCGGAAGTGTAAACCTTACCTTACTAGCATAATATCTTTATCGGTCATAAAGACTCCCTGTTTAAAATCTGACGTCCTTGTCTTAAAATTCCGAAAGATAATTTCCGAAAGATAATTCCTTGAAATAAGATAACAATGTACTGAAAGATGCCAACTTTTTCCAAATTTATAAAACTGCTTCAATATGTTTAGTTAAGGAAGTAATAAAATACTAATTTTTATATATGCAGCTAACTAGCTGTCTTAAATACGGCAGCTAAAAAAACTTAAATGCATGCATGATTGTGCCAGTAAATAATAAAGTTCAGACCCAAAGATATATAATGACAGACAAAATTGGGAAATTTAGCTTGAGTTCAGGGGCAAGCTGGAGTCTTTTTGCTGAAAATACAGTATTTGAGGAATCAGGTAGAAAGCCTCTTCTATATTAATTGACTTTCTATCCAAACTAGGCATATCTGAAGCTTTCATAAACATTTTGTTCTTCATAGGCAAGATTAACAAAAAATGATCCTTCAACAATGCACTTTTATATCAGTGATATCATTCACAGGACTAAAACTTTGAAAAAATATATTTACTGAATACCTCAGACATTTTGTTAGGAGCTTAATTCGAATACACAAGTTTTAGTCACAAGTTTACAGAGGTATTCAGTAAATATATTTTTTTCAAAGTTTTAGTCCTGTGAATGATATCACTGATATTAAAGTGCATTGTTGAAGGATCATTTTTTGTTAATCTTGCCTATGAAGAACAAAATGTTTATGAAAGCTTCAGATATTTTAGTCGCATAATGGAATAAAATGTTTGACTTTAAAATTTTTACATCATTGGTTTATGTATTTATATTTATGTAATTTTAATTTAGAAGAAACAATGGTTGTAAAGCTGGGTAAATCAGCTGAAACTACTCGTCTTCACATTGAAGGTATGATAATAAGCAAAATAAAACAATAAAAAGTTATTAAAACATAAAAATAACTTTTTCAAAAAGTAATTATTTAAAATATGTTTTAGCATACAAGATATATATGCAGCTTCATACAGTTTAATCAAAATGTAGCAATATTATTTTAATGTTATAAAAAAAAGTTTGCTTTCTAGTGCAAACTAAACTTGCTGAACTTTTTGTTTAATGCATGATTAAAGATTAAAGCACAAGCAAGATATTTTTTTTAACAATGTGAACCTAATTTCACCTTAATTATATTATAATAATTTATACTAATTCTAATAGTTTCATTAAACATTAAAAAAAAAAAGTTTTTATTGTTTTAATTTTTCTAAAATAGTATGTTGAGCAATAATTTTTTTTTAAGAAAAAGGGAAGTAAATAAATCTTTTCCAGTCAAAGTTATGTAAATATGGAAAATTAAAGCTTTTGCTATGAATATACAAAACCTATTAATTTTATTACTTTAAAGATTTAAGTAATTTATGTCTTCTGTCAAATGTTTTCTTGCTCTCTAAAAATATTCCTTGATATCTAGTAACTCCCAACTTTTATAGTGGTTGCTTGCAATCGTGTTGGTAGTGAATTAATATATATATATATATATATATATATATATATATATATATATATATATATATATATATATATATATATATATATATATATATGTATATATATATGTATATATATATATATATATATATATATATATATATATATGTATATATATATATATATATATATATATATATATATATATATATATATATATATATATATATATATATATATATATATATATATATATATATATATATTGTTGCCAAGTTGTATATTAACTGAATTAAAATTATATCAGGCTGATTTATATATATTTTTACATCAGTTTAGGTTTAGAAGCGCATTAATTGCACTGTTGTTATTTTTATGCTGAAAATTACAACAAAAGTTGTAATTTTTTTGTAATAAAAAAAAACATTTAATCAATATACTCTGGTAAATATTATTATTTCAAGTTTTTTATCAATAATTTAAGTTTATATTTTGAGTTATATTAACAAAAATTTAAGTTTATATTTTGAGTTATATTAACAAAAAATTATTTTATATTAAAGAGACAAGATCTGGAAAAAGTGGAAGTCAAGGGACAGTAGACCAGATTACCTAACTTTGAAGAAAATTTAATAAATAATATTATTACTGGTATAATAACTAAATTTGGCATAAGTATAAACATAAGGTCTACAATTCCTATATTATCTTTTTTATTTAATTTTTATGGGTACCTAATTTTGAAATTGTATTGACAATAAATAAAATTAAAATAATGAAATTAATTTATTGAATGTTTTTTTTTTACCATTTTCACTTCCAGCAAGGCTGCAAGCAACCACTATTAGAGTTAGAAGTTACTGGCAGAAAAAAGATGAAGTTTATAAAGCAAGATAACGATTAACAGATGACTTGAATAATTGCAAATTATATGAATCAGGAAAACAAGAAGGGAGCAAATTCCAAAGAACTGATGTTTGAGGAAAAAACAAAGAAAAGGATAAATAAGAATTTTTGGAGCATTCAGGAACAGTCATAGTAAAAAAATGAGACTTTATTGAATGATAAGTAACATGAGAAGGAATTTCAGAAGATGGCACAAGAGATGCTAGCTTTTTAGAGTAGTGCTCATTATAGTATTTATAGAAAAGAGAAAGTGAAGCAACATTACGACGATGTGACAATTGTTGAAGGTTGGTTGCAAGAGCAGGTCTTACTATGTTTATAATGTTTTTTTGCTCTTTGTCTTAGAGAGAAAGGGCATCATTTCAAGATTTCAATAAAGGGATGCAATCTTAGGAGATATTAATTTTGCAATTGATGTGATATATGGTTTCCAAAAACGATCAGAAATAAGACTTAATCCTAGAAGACAAATGGTAGATAACTCATCAAGTACATTACTCTTCATAAATATAGGAAAATTTAGATTGTTGCCATAACATTCAGCCAAAAAAAAAATAAGTTTTATCTGAGTAAAAATTAATTAGCCACTGAAAACCCAATGATGCAGCAGAAGTGAGATCCTTTTCAAACTCAAATGCCTCTTCTAAGTAATCAGAGATTTGACTTCTTATCAAGAAAAGAGTAAATGGTAGTATCATCAGCAAACAATGCCACCTTAGATGTGAGAATTTCAGGAGATCGTTAATGCAAATTGAAAAAATATAGGGAAATAAAATAAAAGTGCTGTTCATCAAGGAAATAAAAAAGAGTGCTGTCCATCAAGGACAAATTTTATACAATGATTGTAAGGAAGGATTTAATAATCTTACACACTGTAAGAAGAGAGTTAGTGGAGAAGACCAGCATGCCAAACTTTATCAAATGCTTTAGAAATGTCAAGAATGGTAGCCTCTCCATATCTATCTAATGTACAATAAAATCTATCAGTTATTACCGTTAACGAATCGGCAGTAGAACTAGAAGATCGAAATCCATATTTATGATCAGAAAGTAAGTTATTAGATTTAAGATGATTTGTTAATTAATGACTCATGGTTTGTTTATTACAGAATCTTGGAATTTATTAGCATCAACATATAGATCACAGGATAATGTACATAGAAATTGTTGGGAATAGTTTTTAGTAAACCAATTATCTTTGATACTTTTCCAAAATCTATAAAGAAGCAATGTGTAGTTTTGTCATCATTATTTGTGGAAGAGCACAAGAAATTAATAGTCTTATTAATAATACTATTTAGTAAAAATGAATTAATAAGACCTAGAGGTAGCACCTCAATAACCACACACACTTCATAATTTAAGCATGTCAACTGCCAAACCAAGTTTTTTTAAAAAATTTGCTTAAATTAATAAATTTTCATTTTTTGAACTTTGGCCAGATGTTTTGAAAATGTGCCTAATAAAATATGTTAATGAAAAATAATGTTTATGAATGATTATGTAAAAAGGGGAAAGGTTTGCACTGTAGTCCAGTAGAAAAAGACATTTTTTTTAAAATTGTGACAATCTAAGAAGTATAAATATCAAAAATATCGTACATAGCACAAATAAACTGCAAATAGCAAAAAAAGGTTGTTACTATGCAAATTAGATACATATAACAACCAAATAAAAACACCTTTAATAGTAGTACTGCCTATATATAAATGCCCATGACGAATTTGGTGTTTGTAGCACAAATACAAAATCTGCAATTATCTTAAATTAGGCCTTCTGGTAAGAGGTGTGCGATCGCACGCCTCATATGACCACGCATATAGTTCTTTGTTTTTACAACTTGACCACGGCTCTTTGCAAGTTTTGATAATTAGCGCGTTTAAAAAATGCGTTAAAAAAAAAAAAAAGTGATTTTTAATTTAATTGATTCCATAATTACAATTAAACTCCCACAAAATTTCGTGAGTACTTTAATGTAACTTAATTAAAGGCAATCATTGAAAAAAATATTCCGATTAGAGTTTAAGGCAAAATGAGTACAGAAGCTAAATAGAAACCATTTTATCAGGGATATATAATTTCTAAATAAGAAATTATTTACTAAAAAAAAGGAATTGCAATAATCTTGAAACAAGCGCATCTGCCAACTATTTTTTATCCCAGGGCGTGACATATCGTTTTTTTTTTTTTAATGATTGTTGACTGGCGTATCTTTATTTATTGACGAGCGTCTAATTTAAGAGATTTATGCCAAATAAAGTTCAAATAATTGTTATTCTAGTTAATAAGTAATTAAATATATCTAAGGTGGTTAGTAAATTTCTTTAATTTTTATTTTTCTTAAATCTTTTTTTTACACATTTGTATACTGCGCGCAAATTAATGATAAATGCACAATAAAAAAACTTTTAAAAGTGCAAAAGTTTTAATATGCAATCAAACATTATTTCACTTTATGGAAAATAAGAAAATTAAAAAAAAAACGGGCTAAATTTTATTTATAATGAATACATTTGCTTTAAACTTTTAATGTAATTGCTACAAACATAAAAGAAATCCATCATTAAACGTTATGATCGCTTTTCTCAATAAAAGAAAGCAATCAAAATGTTTGAGCATGGTTTCTTTTAAAGTTTTTGCAAAAGCATTCATTTTAAGTAAAATAATGTATGTATTTGTGAGCGCATGCAAAAACCATGCTAAAACATAATTACTTTTTTCTATAGCGTATTTAGTTATTTTACTTAAAAGTGACGCTATTGAAAAGTGTTTTGGCATTAATTTAAGTCTGTGAAATTAATTGTTTTTCATATTAAATGTGTTTTTTATAATAAATAAAAAATTAATGATAGCAAAATTATTTTGAAAAAAATTGCTGAAGTGATACGTTCGTTTAAAAAAATCCTAATCAAAGGATAATGTTTGCATAAGCAAAATTAAAGAAATGTGATGTTTGTCTTTTAAGAAATGCACCCACTTTTGTCGCACCCTGTATCTTATTAATTTTTTAATAAAATTTTAAACTTGCACCACAAAATTTTATTAAACTTCATGGCACTTTTAAACAGCGTAAGTTACTTATGTTTTTAAACATCAATTTTTAAAAAAATAAATAAAAAATCTGAGGGGAAGGGGGACTCTTTCCCTCACAATGGATTTGCCATTGTATCAGCCTAATTATTCATCGGAAAGAATGATAAAGATTATTAGAGCTGTGATATGTTTTTTTTTTTACTTTCGTTTACAATTAAGTTTACATTAATTAATAAATGTTTTGATTTTTTTTTCTGGTTTTTATTTATTTTATCATTTTTTGAATATTTTATTTTTTTAGGTTAATTTTTGTTAACTATTTTAAGGATTTTATTCTCTTTTCAGTTTATGGATTGTTTATTTTAATTTTTATTTGCTTTGTTATTTTTTAGCGCATTTTTTAAACGTGCAAATGATCAAAACTCGCAAATGATCAAAACTTGCAAAGAGCCGTGGTCAAGTTGTTAAAACAAAGAGCTTTATGTGTGGTCATATAAAGCGTGCGATTGCACGCCTCTTATGAGAAGGCCTGTAAATAGCTTGTTGTTATGCAAAATTAGGTATCCATGGCAACCAAGTAAAAAAAATAACACCTTTACAAGTAACCCAGACCTCATTAAATTTATACTAAACTTTGTTAATATAACCAGCGTTGAAAGTAGTAATGGTTGGTCAACAGTCAATGACCACCTGAAATGACTAAAAATACTATTTTGACCTCCCAAAATGAATTCTTGCCGGCCATGGTTGACCAGTTGAAAAATAAATCAGGGATTTAAAAGCAAGGTTTGACAAATTATCAGGATGTTATTTGGAAAATGCGTATACAAAAATTTTATAAAATCATTTAAATTTTGAAAAAGCGTTTAAAATAGTTTTCTTGTTTATGATATGCTACTTTAGTTGCTTGCGGGTTGTTTAAGCAAAAAGAAAATTTAAAGCAAGTTTTTTCATTAATCAATTTTTCATTTATTTATTTTTCCATACTGCCTGGTTTTTATCTTTGCTTTATAAACGTTTTAATAAATTTATTTTTTTATGAATATTCAATAGTTTAATAAAAACCTATATTTTTATAAATATTCAATAGTTTAATAAATATCAATATAATTCAATAATTAAAAATTATTAATTAATAATTTTATATTAATTATTCTGATACTTAAAATATATTCTAGGATATCGTTGTTTTTCATCGTTGTTAAAACTTTTATTAAATACTTATTGCATATAAATAGAAACCAGTAATTTTTCTGCTTTAGCAACTCTGAACTCATTAACTCATTTTATTGACTTGTAAACAACATACCTAACAATGTACCTAACAACATAAACTAAGTTTTTTGTCTCACTTATTTAAATTAATTTTGTTTTACCGATGGTGAAAATCCTTTTTCTTAAATGATTAAAGTTCTTACTTTAATACTATTTTAATAATAAATAAAATAATATAAAATATATTTTACTATTTTAATAATAAATTATTTTAATAATAATAATAAATAACTATTTTAATAATAAATAAAATGATATTAAAAAAATAATAGTAATAATATGAAAATTTTAAATATTACTTTATTAACAATATGATAATATAAAATGATGTTTTTAACTATAAATAATTTTTCCTTCATCTGTACTTAGTCAACTTGTTTTATTTTTCTCTAAATCTTTTTATTTATTTTCTGGTAAGTTTTGCCAAAAATTGCAAATGAATGAATAAACCATTCATTCGTAGATAAATTAAAAATTACTAATTGAGCCCTTGCGTTTTTTTTTATAACAGGATTATTGAAAAATTTTTTAAAAGCTCTGTGTATATGTATATCTCGTTTTAAAATCTTGTTTTAAGAACATTTAATAATTTTTATAGTGTTTCATTAAACAAGTTGTTTAATAATAAGACGAATAATTAAAAGAATTTAAAGTATTAAATATTCAGTTTAAATAGTATCTGCAAACAAGAGTTAGTAACATTATTATTAAAGTAATTAACATTAGCAGTTTTGAAATTATTTTAATGAGCAAGAGATATAAAATGTGCTAAAATTTTTCTTTTTTAACTTTATTTATTTCATTATTATTCGAAATTATATAATAATTTCGAATAGTAATTAAAAATATAATCTTAATTAAAAAGTAATTAAAAATGTAATCTCAACTGTACTTTTTTTTCATTTAATCTTTTCTATTATTTTTTGCTCACCTTTTCCCACCATTTGCGAAGTCATTGCAATGAAATGAATTATTTTTATAGATATTAAAAATTATCAATTACCTGTTTGCATTTTTAAAAAATTTTGATTTTATTTAAAATTCTTCTTAAAATAATTTTACTCTTTACCCCTCAAGCATTAACTTTTTTTTTGTATTTATAAAGTTTGTTCAAGAAAAACTATTACTAAGATTTAAACAAAGAAAAAAGAAAAAATTTGACCATAGAAAAGAAACAATTGATCGTCAATTCCGTGAGTTGGCAGGTCGAACCGCACGTCTTCATTTCCTTATTTTCCACGCTGGATATAGCACTAATATCAAATTATTTATGAGTTCTGTCTCAATTAATTATTCTTGCCTACTGTATAATGTTATAAAATTAATCTTAATATGTTATAAATCTAATGCCATTATTCTGTTAATGTACTGCTATATTGCTGGGAATGTTTTCAAGTATATGAATGTAATGCTTCAAAAGAATACTTGGATATTAATATCTATTTCTTGGGATATTTTATATAAAGGTGGCAGCACTATTTATGCCTCTACACGATGAAACTGTCCTTTCATTAGGACCCATATAGTTTACATAACCTTTTTTTCAGAGACTCTTTTTTCCTGGTCTGATTAGACAGACATATTCTCTCTATTACCTATTTAACACAATTTTCATCATAATTATTTTCATAATGATAATTATGATGATGACAATGATGATGATGATGATGATGATACTGATGATGATGATGATGATGATGATGATGGCAATAATGATGATGATGATGACGATGATGATGATGATGATGATGATGATGATGATGATGATGATGATGATGATAATGGTAGTGATGATGATGATGATAATGATATCAATGATGATGATGATTGATGATGATGATGATGATGATAATGATGGTGATGATGTTGATGATAATGATGGCAATGATGTGATGATGATTGATGATGATGATGATGATGATGATAATGATGGTGATGATGTTAATGATGATGATGGTGATGATGATGATGATGATTGATGATGATGATGATGATGATGATGATGATGATGATGATGATGATGATGATGATGATGATGATGATGATGATGATGATGATGATGGTAAAACATTTTTTTATGACTTGTTAATATGATTATAATATGCATTTTTTTAAATTTATTTAGATTCAAACAAGTTTGGATACTGTCCTTCTCAAGCTGGCTTTCATTTATCAGTGTGCAAGCAGTGCCAAAAGTTGGTTATGTTACCATCCTTACAAAAACACTATGGTATAAAATTAATACAGATAAGGTTAATTACACTTGTTTAAACTTAAAAAGAAAAGAAAGAGAACTTTCAAGACAACTCTTAATCTAAGAGTTTAAGTAATTAAGTAATCCACCTTGCCCAGTAAACAACATTTGTAAGGAAGGAGGCGTGAACTTTCTAATTGAATGCTCTTCCACGGTGCACAGACCATAAGGACTTATGGGAGCATTTCAATAACCACGCACACAAAAAAAAGTAAATTATAGTAAGAAAGATTATATACTAAGTTAAATTTAAGTTCCTCAAAACTGTGTTATTAGCAATTCCTTCAAAATTGTGTTGTTAACAATTTTGTTGTTTAAAAATTAGTTTATAAGAATTTTCATTTTCCTGTAAACAGTCTTGCCAAAATATTCTTGCTTTTTCATTTTTATAAAAATTGTTGCAAATACAAAGAGTTAGAGTTCTTGTTTACATGCTTTGACAATTTGACGATAGAAAATGTTGAAACAGTCTAAACAGTTTTCCTATCATATAACATATGTGATCTGTTGTCTTATTTTAGTCAATGTTTGAAAAAAAGTGTTTTGTTAGTGTGAATAACCTGAAACCTAATATTCTATAGGACACATACACCTAATATTTCATAAGGTATCATACATAGGACATAATACATCTGTTCATTTTAGGCTATAAATTTAAAATATTTAAGATAGGATGGGATCATCTAAACATATTTAAAGCTATTTCTGACTTGAAAAAAAATGTATAGGAAGAAAAATATCTTAAAATCATGATAGGATAACCTATTATGCAAATTTAACAAAAAAAAAAATGCTAGTTAAAATATTCTGAAGGGGTCTAGGAAACCTTATTTAAACCTGTTGACCCACATTACCCCACTCACTGAGGTAATGTGGTTCTATGTAAAACATGGGTACTTTTTCTTTAAAATACAGCTGCTTATGAGAAATTTATCATTCTTTACAGAGGCATCTTTTATTTCACAATTATGCAAGAGTTTTAATTTAAAAAGTATTTTTTAGAAATTTAAATTAAAAAAAAACTGCATACATATACAGTATAAAAATATATGTAAAAACTTTAAAAAATAAATAAAAAACATTGAGCTTTAGAGCCAAATAAACTATGAGCAAAATAAACAAAAACCCATTTTTTTAAAAATCTGTCTTTTTATGGTCAAATGTTATTTTAGGTTAAAGACTTCTGCTGAAGTAATAGGTTTGTTTTTTGTACTTTTTTTTCTTCATTTATTTTCTGTAAAAGCTGTTATAATCTCATGAGCTGCTTGTTCCTTGAGTTCCTTGTAAGCAGTTCTCCACATTTTGCTTGTACTCACCTTCTTTGTTTTTATTGTTCTAGTAAGCTGAGTTTCTAGCTACTGTTTCTACAGATACATTAGGACATACGATTGACTATTAAGCTTTTTGCATGCAGATCTTAGGGCTTGTTATCTTTTAAGATTTTAGAACTATGATGCTCAGGTGATTGATTGAGAATGGCAATGTCTTTTATTTTTCTTAATAGGTGAGATACTTGTACCATGAAGTCCTGCAATAGCATTTGCTGAAGAGAGTCTTTAGTTCTTTTTTTAAAAATAATCCTGTGAAAGTTGTCTTATCAATACATTTGTTTTGTGTTTCTCTTGAAAACCACTTTAAAATTTTTTTCCACTCTTTCTTAAATGGTCTTAAGGCAGTCACATTTAATGGTTATAATGCATTTAAGTATTTTGGTGATAGACAAATAATATGGATATAGTTATCCATAGTTGCTTTTGTAGTACCATAAGTTAAATGACTACTATTACCATTGAAGATCAAGATTATTGGTTTTTGATCTTGGGCAAAAGATTGCAAGCGCTTCAAAAACCTAAATAAAAAATATAATTATTTTTACATACTTTTAAATCATTTTAATATCTTCATGAATAACAAAGACTATTCAGTTTAATTACAAAAATGTCAAATGCAAGGAAATAGAAGCGGAAAAATATAATTATAATTAAAAATCAAGTACAATACCAGTTTTCAAACAGATAGTCTTGCATACCTTCACTTGATGTTTCCCCAAAAGCACATCCTGGTGGTCCATTTTTTATCCATTTAGAATACAGATAACTTTCTCTCTTGAAAATAACAAATAATGGTAGATATCTTTCACTTGCAGAAAGGTAGAACAGTACAGAGTACATTGTTTTATCAGAAGAAGTAGCCTGTTTGTATGCATCTCTGCTTTTTGCATGTACAAATACTATCTTCTTCAAGTGATTTTAAAAGTCTCATTAAGTTTTTATATACTACTTGGTACATTGTTATGATCATTAATTATATCTGATAGAATATTAAAAAATTTGTCAACTTGTGTTAAGCTTTTAATTCTCAAGAGTATGTATTTCAGGTTTTGGTAATTGCAGTTTGTCAACATCACTTAAAAGAGTTTGTCAACATAATGTTTTTTAAAAGAAATTATCCAACCTTTCCCAGGATTTCCATTTTTGAAAGGAGTTTTCGTCTTTATTATTGTGAAAAATTGGGCTACCAGACAAATGTCAAGAGAATCTAGCTGAAGATCACATTTTTGACAATACTGAGCCAAGCAACAATCATAGCTTTATTGTTTGCATTAAATTTATTTATTTTAATTCTTAATCTCAATGTTTTCTTTGGTACAAAACATTCTTTAGCACCATAATAGTATTTTTTTTTCTTATATACTAACACGATAGTTCTTTTCTTAGCTTAAATAGTGATAATTTTAAATAAATGAAATTAGTATACAATGTTTATAATATTAATAATATAATTTAAAAAGTTTATAATATCATAAGGTTTATAATATGATAAGGTTTATAATATGATAAGGTTAATATGTTAATTATAATAATGCTATTAAAATGATGACACATTAAAAAGTTTAACACATTATGTGCTAAAAATTAAAACCATTATCCATGTACTTAATAAGTATCAATTAAACCCTATGCTACCCCACCCTATTCTATTTATAAAAGTATGATATAAAATTAAACAGCTTGTAGTAACTTAACGTTATATACATGAGTGAAACAAGAATTTTTTAGTGTTAAAGATGTTTATGTTCAGACTGCACAATAGTAACTTACTGTTTATGGCTAAATATATTTTTGTTGTATTTATGGAGATAGTAAGCCTAATTTTAGTTTATTTAAATAAAACCAAAAAATACTATCCATTTTGTAGGTGTGTGTGTGTGTGTGTGTGTGTGTGTGTGTGTGTGTGTGTATGTGTATACATGTGTTACAAATATTGCAGTTGTTTATTTCCCTAGAATTAGTTAAAAATAAATCAAGCTGTATAATTTTCAATAAATAGGGTAATATATTCGAAAAATAGCTAATCAATTTGCTATTTAGCAAACAAATATATTTTGTAGGCTTTTAAGGCTACATTGATTATAAAGTTATATTACACAATTCAGTGCTTTATTTGTTATTGTCACTTTTAGCATTTGAGCAACTCCATGCGCCTCGATGTTTTACTTTTATCAAGGAATACAATTTTATAATATCTATGTGTATAAAAAATATTTAAAATTTATATTATTTTGGTAAAAAAATATATGTTTTTTAGGATAATTTTTTATTTATTTTTTACTTTCTATTTTACAAGTTTTTGCACATATAAGAGCGTCACGGCGTGACAAATTGATGTCATGCTGTGACGCGCGTATTTTGAGCTATATCTGTAAAAATATTAAAAAAAATTATGAAAAGTTTAGTTTTTATAATACAGTTATATTTCAATATTATAAGAAAGTTTATTTTTTATTTTATAAATCTTATAACCAAAAACTTTTGTTTTCTCAATTAAAAACGCATTAACGCGTGTCATGGAATAGCTCATTTGGATCTAAATCTAGTTTTAATTTTGTCATCAGTCATGAATTGATTCCACACCAGATAAATTTACACTATCAATACTAAGCTGCTAATAAACTTTTTATTTTATATAGTAAGCTCAAAGATTTTAAAACCTGTTTTTCAATTTTTTAGTTGAGAAACAGGTTTTTAATAATGAGATTGAATAAATGGTTTAAATTATTTGTAATGAAAATGTCATTTAGTTCTTCTACTTAATTTTCTTGCCTTATAAATTTTAAATCTCAACTCAACTGGTTCTTCCACAAATGGGAAGTGACTCTTTTTTTTTAAATTTCAACAAAAATAATATAACTAGATTTATATCCAGAGTTATATTCTTGGCATACTTTATCTCATACAATCAAAAGCAAATCAGCTGAAAAAAATTGTCGAATAATACATAAAATTTAATTTAGGCAGCAATTATTCACTTAATACATCAAATATTCATTTGATACATTAATTATTCATTTAACACATCAAATATTCATTTGATACATCAATTAATTATTAGATACAGCATGATTTGTATATAAGATAGTTTGTTATCAAACTAACTTACATACAAATTATAGCCTACTATAAGGTAGATCGGAGCTAGTTGGCAACAGGGGTAAGTTGACAAATTGTATTTTACTTGAAAGTCTTCTTTCAGAAACTATTTCATTTTTCACCATAGTATTGTAAGGATTTGACCAAATGCTAAGGAGTTATTGCATCTCATGTGGTTTTTGGACAAAAATGTAACTTTTAAATTATTATTTTTTACAATTAGTTGTTATTCCAGATACAAATGATTCACACATTTCTTATTGCTGTTTTTTTAAGGTTCCTAAGCTGTTTATTAAAAAAAAGAATTAGTTGGCATATATTTCATGAGATGCTGGCTGATATTATTTACTATACTTTTTTTTACTTGAAAAAGAAATTGGTCATTTTTGCTTATTATACAAACTATTGTTTTTTACCAGCCCATGAAATAATGATGAAATAATGAAGTAATTTTTTGCTAAAATTTATCAATGCGCTCAATTATACATAAGGGATAATTTTTATAGTTTGCACCAATTTACCCAGGCGCACACATATGCTGATTTT